ATAGCACCAAAGAGGTTCATCAAGGCCAGGGCCATCTGAATGTGGAGCAAAAAACACTCCATGCTCACGAGTCGAGCTCAGATATCGCCAAATCCCCTGGCCCAAATTCCAAACCAAACCAGGATGCACTGTTGACATGCAGGCGGCGGAACCCACCGTAGCAGCAATGTCAGGCCTACTGCGCAATGCAAGCCATTTGACAGCCAATTTCACTTTGAGCTCGCTTCAAAATTTCGGCATATTGTTCGTCACGGACCATGGGCTTCACAGTTCCCTCCGGGATGTTGGGGAGCGAGGGTGATCCTTTCATGTGCAACCACCCTCTCTTGTTCAATTCTTGAACCAACCAGGGTGTCTGGTGTAGCAAAAATGCCCTGATCAGCACATCGGCGGATCTTCATTCCCAGAAAGTTCAGCTCCTTCTGCACAGGGATCACTTCATCTGAAATTTCAACGTGTGAACCTTCAACAAGAGCATTTCCACTCAGAAAAAATTGAAAATTCAAAGCCCACAACGACTTCAGTTCACGGCCCAAACGGAGCAACAACTCTTGGGAGCGACTAGCAAACCATCATCCACATACATCATGAAAAGTCCAACGCATGCACCTTCTGACTGCAACATCCAAGCGCCCGACTCTAAAGGAACCATGATTACATCGCCAATGTCAGAACCAGCGGTGCTCTTCAAGACCCGATGATCAAGCATGAGGTTCCGCTCTTGTTCCCACAGTTTGGGAGCTTTTCGGAGCCCGTAGATGGCTCGCAACGCAATCCAAAGTATGTTTGGGGCCACTAGGCCCAGTCGGACTAAAGCTGGGGGGAGGTCGGATCAGGACCTTCTCATCTCCAAGCAAAGCATTCAAAAATGCACAAGATACATCTAACACCAATGCATTCCAGGAAGGATGCCTAGCCAACATAGCCAACATCAGACGCAGCAACTCCTGAGAAGGATTGGCGGAATAGTTCTCCAGCATGTGAGGCGTTGTATCTTCTTGGAAATTTCCACACGCTACTAGGCGCACCTTGGCATTCCAAGACGCTGCAGCTGCTGTTGCGGCAGCTCCTGCCGATGTTTCTTTGCTTGTCATCTCTAACATCGGCTTGCGAGTGAGTACAAGCTTGCTAGGGACAGGAGTGGGCAATTCCAAAGTAGACTCCAGACTCCAAAGCGTTTTAGCTTCATCTCGGGTGACTGGAAGAAGCACGTTCTTGTCCGACATGTTGTCCAATTCGGTCTGCAGCCCATTGATCCACTTGCCCCGCTCCTCCTCAGACATATTCTCATCCCAAAGAACTGTCTGAGGCACTGGTTCAGCAGACGCAAAATTCTGGGAAACAACTTCTGTCTTGTTCATCTCTTCTTCCATTTCAAACAGCAGGATGTGGTACCGAGCCTTTTCCGTCCCTTCGGCCACGATCTGCTTTGCGACCTTACAAGAAGGCTTCAACTTGTCGTCTCCAAAAGAAAGCAAATAGCCATGACCAAATTTGCAAAAATCATCCCATGATGGCTCAATGGAACCCATTTGCCTCTTGATCAACTCGATGGCATCGATTCTGCTCATCTCTGGGCCTTCAGTTCTTTCTTCACAAGTCATTTGTTCCTTCCATTCATCTGGCTCTTGCCACTTGATTTCACCCTTGCTTGACACCCAAACCCTCTGATCATCTTTAAACTTTAAACTCAAGCCGCCACACCTTGTCTACAGATGGTGGGATCAAGGGCATGCGGGTTTTGAGAATCTGAGGACGTGTGCACGAACTCTGCTTCATCAACACCAAGGCGCCATTTGGAATGGTTTCATCTTCGCACAGAAAAACTGCTTCATCCAATCTGCTGGTGAAAGAATCAGAATTCACCTTTCTCACAAGCACCTTTTGACCCACTTTTGGCACTGAGTCGGGGATGGGCAAACCAAGAGCACGTTGTCTAGCAACAAAAACTCCATGTCTAGCAGCGAAAGTCCAAAATGTGAGCGGCAAGCGACCATGTAGAAGACATCGCGTGGCATCATCTTTGACTCTCTGCACCATGCGTTCAGCAACACCATTTGAATGTGATGCTGTTGTTGTCTTCCAAAATCCCATGCCATGGATCTGCTCAACTACCTTGTTGGCTGTGAACTCACCTCCACAATCCGAATGCACTCGGAAATACACGGCCACACCACCAGTCATAGAGGAGATCTGGGCCATGATGTGAACAAGAGCTGGAAGCACAGTAGAGGATTCCTTGTTAGGCAATGTTCTGATGAAAGGAAGGACTGTTCCGGTTGCCAACCTGAGGGCTGTGACCAAAATATACTTGACGATTCCCCAAAAGTAGTGTGTAGCCACTTTAGTCTAGCCAGTTGATAAATAACAGTGGGATCTCTTTTTTGCTATTGTTTAAGAAGCGGCACGCAGCTAAAATCAGTAGTTCTGCAAGGTAGCGCTAGCAAATCCGGTAGGAAAGCGCTAGGTTTGAATGCGTATCATGTGAGGAACATCAATATCCTGTATGATGAAGTTACATAACGGATTTGTTTTGGAGATGTATTTGGATAAGCTGAACCCTCCACCAGGGCTTGCAACACAAAATTGTGTGTGCTCACAGTTTGGGGCTCAATTATTTTGCTGCAGTTGTTTGTGTGGTCATGGCTGTGCCTGTCGGCGCTCCTTCCGTTTGCGGGGTTGGCGCGTGTGGCGGTGCCGTGAGGGGGGCCAGAGTTCAACTCGAAGCATTCTCTATGGGTATGTGGTTGTGTATCTCATTTGCAAGCCATTCTGCTTTGTTCAGGAATGATTTCTTTGGCTCGATGCTATCCTTGTTGTTTTAATTACAGGGCTGTGTGCACAGTAAGACCCTTTGAGGTTGCCGATTTTTATACCACAGCTGGGACGAAGCGTGCAAGCCACCATTGCGCGGTCTAGTGGCTAGCCGTATATTCATGTAATTTTTCTCTTATCAGGCCCTTCTAAATGAACCTGTCAGGTAGAAATTGCTTAGGGTCTCTATAAGTGATATTTCAGCTGAGTTTGGAGAGCGAGTCATCTTGGAATTTCACTTCTTGTTTGACGAAGAGCATCAAGCAGTGGCAGCAGCAAGCGAAGGAGCTTCTGGAAGGGATTTCCGAAGCGTAGCGATTGGGTTGATGGGCTGCTGCTGCTGCTGGTGGTGGTGGTGGTTGTGGTGTTGCTGTTGTTGTTGTTGTTGGTGGTGGTGGTGGCGGCGGTGGTGGTGTGTTTTGGTTGTTCTTGTCTTGTCCTGTCTTTGTGTTGTTTTGGTGCTCATCGCCTTTTGACCTGACCTCGCCCAGGTGCCTACATCGACTCGAACTTTGCGGCGCAGAGGATGCTTGGTTGCCTGGCTCTTTGTTTGTTTCTTTGCCTGTTTTGTTTGTTTGTTTGCTTGCTTGCTTGC